AGTGTGCAATGTGATATAGTAAATGGTTTTAAAATATAAAATTACCTCAAAAATTAAACCGGAGAAAGAACTAAAGCTGCTGAATAATTTTTATTGTTACTTTATACAAAATTTGTTGGTACTCTAATTTCGAATTAAATTTTATTAAATTTCTGTGAAATCGAAATATTTCATTTTCTTCAAAGTAATTTTTATATTATTATTTCACTGCCTATTCAACTATTAAATCTTTGATGATTAAAAATTTATAAGAAATTTCAAAAGTTGAAACATTTTTATCTTTTGTGAACACCAGTGAATGTTGCTGCAGTGTTTTCAATGTGATCTGTTCCTAGTGAAACTTGGAAAACGTTATTCTAATCCATCACTATATGCAAGCTCCTTATTCAAATGGAATAATTAACCCCCATGCTCAAATATCTGCCATAAATACGCGCATAAAAGAGGCCCTTGAGGAATGTCCATTACTGAAGTCAACGGAGCGTGACACCATTTCGTGAAAACGTTGAATCTTTGCGTGCCCAACCTGTTGCAAGTGGAGCCCATGACGAGAGAAATATTCAAAAATGCACGCGACCTTGGCGTTTTCTGCGATGCAATGTTTTGGATTTTCCCCTTTTGATCGAACGGATATAACCACTTACGCTCTGTATTGAATTTCAATACTGCGGATGTAGGAGATAACATCAGAATCTTCGGCTTTCGGGATACACACATGCCGGGGATTACGTAGCAAATGGAGGTATGTCCTTTGAATGGCATCGAACTGGAAACGTAGCGGTGTTATTAAGACTCGTTAACTCAACAGACAGGTAAAAAAAAAAAAAAAAAGTGATTTTGCATGAGCTGAAAAATAAGCCACTTATTAGATAGAGCTTTATTGGAAATTGAAAATTATGTTTCACTAACATGACTGAAATCGAATTCTAGGAAGTATAATATTTTCGCGGAAAAGTTAATTTTTTCCCCTTTGTAAAGATTTTATAGGTGCTGTTTGAATTAGTCGATAGTGCTATGCGCTTCATATTTTTTGGATATAGTTAGCAAATGCATTTAAACATTTAATAATAAACCTTTCAAATTGTTATTTGTATATGGATAGTTTTCAGAAAGTTTCTGTATTTGTTTACTTTGTAATTTCTCAATGTTTCACTTTAACAATTTACAATTGACTCAAATTTTTATTGTTTACTACGAATTGTTACTATTAAGTATTTAGCGTGTCTTTTAAATACAAATTAAATTTTGTCTGGGAGTATATCATTATGAAAATTCGTGAAAATAGGTTATTTGTTGTGATTACTAAGTACAGGAAGTTCATTTGATTACGTAATAAATACATATGACAGAGAAGAAATACATTTTTTTAAGAACGTTGCTTGTGAATAAATATTTAATATGTTATGTTTCAAACTGTACTTAAAACACATATTTGTTTGTTGTGAATCAAATTATACTTTAATTTGCTGGGTGTAGAAAATGTTATTGAACTCACTAAGCACTTGGATTTTTCACCTGAAGGAGGAGAGGTCTTTAACATCTTGTTACATTTCTGTAGCTGTTGTGGTCGTTGATTGCAGTATACTTGCAGAAAAGAAATGTTTTCAAAATGAGACGGATACAGAAACCGAAATTCTAATCCTTTATTATAGCCATTTCATTGTAAATAATTGTGTATGGCAAAATTGTTTGTAAATATTTTTCTTGCAATGCACTACACCTTAAACGGTAATGAAGTAAAAATACCTTTAAAGCCCTTTTTTCCTAAACTTCTTTTATGGCATACATAAAATTATTGTAAAAAAATGCTTTCTTTTGTATTTGTCTGTGAGCTCTGCTTTGTTTGAATGTAGACCAAAGACACTCTTGCTCTCTTATTTATTTGAGAGATATATTATTTATTTTTTCTGCTGTTCGTTTCTGTAAGTTTAATTCATTTTGTTTGTCACAATTTTGAAATAAATTTGATAATTTTATATAAATAGTAAATTCATTTAACTGAGCATCTTTTAACAACGACTCGAACCGAATAATAGCATTGAATCAATGAATTCGAAAACCAAAATCTTAAATTTTTTTAAATTAAATTTTCATTATTTCATCGTTTAATGATAAATACATATTTTACAAAGTAAAGAAATTATTTTAATATGCTGAATGTAAATATAGTTAGTGAGTTAACTATACAGGAACTACCTTTGTACGTATATTCTTTGATGGATTACGCAAATTAACATTTGTCTTAATGAGATCTCTAAACGTAAATAAGCTGCATAAAATGGAGGTATCACAATTTTCAAAATTTACATACTGCTTTTTAAATGTTAAGGAACGTAATAGGCTTTAACAATTAAGAAAAATTATAAATATTTAATTTAGCACAGGCTTAAATAAATACAATCATTTAATGAATTTTGTAGCTTTGCTTTTGTAACTTTGTTTGAATTTTGTAGCTTTGCACTTCTCAAAAAATATGAAGTGCTATTTTACAATAAATCATACGAGTGATGAAATGTAAATGTAATTGAAAATGTAAGCTGTAATACCAAATATTTCCACTCCTGACATGAATGTGAGCTTGACACATCCTCTTCATATTCTCTATCAAGTTAACTGAGTTCAAATGGGAGTAATGCTCATGCACGCCTTAATTTCCATTGCAGTTTACTGAATGATCTTGGAGAAGTTCTTATAAATGCTCAATAGAATTACTGTTAGGTGATGGAGTTGGCTTGTCTGTTCGCTGAATTTTCAAAGTACCGATTGACTACAGCTGATCTATACACCAGGCATTATCAAAAATTAAACAAATAAATTACTTGAGATAGCAGAAAATTATTTTATAAATTAACGCATTTGGTTCCAGAAGTATCCAAAATTTCACCAAAAGTCGGTGGAACATGAAAAACGTAAGTAAGCATATACCTCACGTATTGGCTATTAAATGATATCTCTGCATTATGCGCCAGCGCACGATCGTCAATGAACATGTTAATCAAGGACTTCGTTCCATTATCTCAGAACATTCAGATATCACCGACAAATGCTTAGAGTTCGATATAAGTAAACATTTACTTTTATACAAGCAATTAATTGCCAGCTTTTTTAGTGTCCTTGTCGAAACTGTTGAATTAATTTTACATGTATAATACTAGACTAGTTGTGTATACTCCTTTTCGTTCTCTCAATGATGACATGATTAAATCAAAGTGTTACGAGTACCTAAATTCGTATTGAACGTTACTAAGCTTCGTTATTATTGATTCCTTAGGACATATTCTGAGCAATCTCGGTTGAGCTGCCTCGTGCAAATGATTCCATGAGACACTCGTAAGAGATCTGTCGTCTGGCAAGTTATCTTTGTATGAATGAAGCCTTCTTACATTTGAAACTGATAACCGTCTTCCTTTTCTTCTTGTAAAATGCTCGACGAGAAGCTGAGATGCAGATGTTTCTTCTTTTTCTGCCGTTTGAGCCAGAATGCCATCCTCATAAGGATTTCAACTGATGGATAACCTGGATGCGCTATCTTGAATCTGTGGATTCGCTAAGGACCAAATTTTGTTGCATATTGGTGGCACTGCGACTACGATTTAACCATCTTCCTGTTTCAGCTTGTGACAGACCCATACCCACATAGTAAACTATTTGTTGTTTTAATTGAATAACGTAAAATATGTCTCTATGACTTCGCATAATAACTGAGATACGATTTTCTTACCTTCTAAGATTTTTTTGAAACCAACACATGAGTACTTTCGAAGCTCTATTGCTATAAAATTAAACTGTTTTTCAAAAAGAGATGTAGTATCTCTAGTGTCTTAAAATTTTCTCGGTTTGGATTGTTATTATCCTCAGTATGAACTGCATTTCGTGTCCTCTTTCTTTCGAAGGGGGTTACAGAGTATAGAGAAAAAAGTGTATCTTAAAGTTCTGAAGACCAGTTATGTGTTTAGAATAAAAAATTATAAAAAATGTAGTACTTCTCAAGTAAATTAGTTGATTTTTGCTTTTTCATGAGTAAATTGTCCTTGGACTACCACTTACGTTGACAATGTTGTAGAAGAGCATTTCTGTTACTGGAGACTTGAATTATTTGTGGAGTGCTATGAAATGTTTTAGTTAGAGATATTTTGTATTTTTCATTTTTGATAATTATTTATGTTTTAAAATTATTGTTAATACTTACACTCTACTAATTTTCATCACGCTCTTTCCAAGCATCATCTGTAAAATATTGTTTTAAAATAATTATAATAAAATTAAAAACGTAATTTTTTAAAACAGGTATATGTTATATCTCTTATGCGATCTTAAAAAATCTGAAATTTACTTTATGCAAAATGTATTAAAAATTAACGCTAGTATCAAAATTTATGTGGGGGAGGGGGAATGCTCGTGGCTTATTCAAGAAAAATATTTTAACAAGAATTGACTAATAATAAATAATTCATTTTTATTGGTATTTTGTACTCCTTGCTTATTAATTAATTTATAATCTAACAGGATGAAAAAGTTTGCTTAATTTAGAATTATTTTACTACGTTATCATAATGCTAAATAATTAGCTTATTTATCGAAAACAGCCTCGTTTATGCTAATAATATTTGGCAATGAACTTAATCGTGTATTGTTTTTAATATAGTATATATAGTAGTATTATGTTTGCTTCATTAATATCTAAATACACTGAGTAAACGAATAGATTTGTGTACTCATTTTTTATGTTAATTTTTTGCATTTCATTTATAATTGATACAAATCTAAAGACCAAAAGTTCTAAGACCTAATTTATTATGCAGAGTTTAAAAACTAACCTAATTAGCAAAATAAAATAACTTTCTTTCATAGACTACGAATCAGGCAACTGTGATTTTTTTGTGTTAAGTAATTTTTTTCTACTTTCATTTTTAGCCGTTGATGTATCCTTCATATGAATTGTTTGAAAATTACTTTGCATAACTTTCTTATCTCTTGTTTTACTTTTTTCTCATCTTTAGATACAAATACAAATCACAGGACACTGCCTAGTCGACATATCTACTATGAGCCACCTGAGGATTTCGACTGGGATGCCTCTTCCTCATTACTCCCATCATGCGATTCAGCGGGTGAAATAATCATACACAGAAGGCCAACAAGTCCGGTTTCTAAACAGAACGGTACGAAAAATTCTCCTACACACGCTCAATCTGAGAGTCTCACACTTGAGTCACAGACGTCAGATACGACAACTAATAACGATTCAAATAGTCCAAAAGAATCATTAACCAAAGATCAAGAACGAGCTTATACACAGGAAGAATTCACTTCTGCCATTTTGGCCCGATCTCAGCAAGAAGCCGATCACAAGGCATCCCAACCACCGACAAATACTAATAATTCGAACGATGTTCAGAATAGTCTAGCTAAGGAAACGCATCCAGACATGGCTGTGGCTGATTCCGGGGTTGCCTCGATGGTGAGGGATTCTCTGACTGTCGGCAATACATGCCAACCGGCCAGTGTGGTCGAGGGGCATGAAGATTGTGACTGCGAAAGGAGGTGCTCGAATCCGAAACATCTAAATGACTGCAAAAGTGGTGATTATGCTGTGTCGCCAGTTCTGGAGAGAAGGAATAAAAGTGTGCTCGGGAGGCTTAGGAACTTTGCGGTAAGTGTTATTAAAATTTTATCAAGCAAATAAGAAATAAACTCACGTGTAGTAAAGGATTTAGCTTTATTATTTTTAAATATTAGATTGTTTCTATTCGAACTTTTTTCAAGTGTTCTGGTGGTACTTTTGTGGTTCGATTCACTTCCTCTAAAATCATAAGTAACTGACATTATCAAAATAATGATCTTAATAGTACAATGTTGGAAAGGAGCGAGGATCTAGTAAGCGAGTTACTAAAATTTCGCCTTATTTTTTAGATTTAATTCGCTATTTATGAAGATAAATTTTGCCGTCGTTACTAATATATGAAATTTATTGCTTGAATATTTGTTTGATGTCCTTGTGGTGATTTTCTTACGCGATTTACTTCTGCCACAGTCTGAAGTAACTAGTATAGTTGAATTATTGATTTTAAAATTGAAATCTTGGAATCCTCCGCACCAATTATTGAAAGTTGTGCTTCACTTTTCTTATTTCATAGTATTGAAAGCAATTTTTCAAGATTTTTTTATTTTGAATGTATTTTGTCCAAAGAAAATAATTTAAAATATATAAAGATTGTATTACTTATATTTTCTAGGAATACATTGCGTGTTATAGAATGCTTTGGAAATTCTCGTACTTACAATGAATAGCTAAGGAATCTCTGTGGTCTTATGTAACTTTTGTTTCTGCCTCGCTTAGTTAGGCAATTATTTTTAAGTGTTCGAGATGAGTTATGTAAATGTCTGGCCGACAGTGTTGGCAATAAGTTCAGGAAGTTGATTAGAGCTCAATTTCCAGAACTTTGGAAACACCTTACGGACTTTCTTCTTAAAACAAAAGTGTGAAAATTTTCTCACGTTTAACTCTGAAAGGGAGATACATCCCAAGATGCGCACAAGATCACAAGGTTAAGTGAAGAACATATAAAATTTAATTCTTCTTTGCTTTAGACATGACAATGTGTTGTTGTCTACGCTTGAAGAGGGATGATGAACATATATACATATGTGACGATGGAAACAGGCTTATATACACAATTCTTGTACTGAAGAATAATCAGTGGTAACGTTGACCGCAATGAATTTGCAGCCTCATGAGAAACCGGGACTCACAGAATACTTTAGTACAGGAGCACAGTAATATATTCCTTCGCGGCAGGCACTTGGAATCAACAAAGTTAAGATTTGACGCGTTGGTACATGATGGACGCTGACCAGGATCTGCACCTCTGGACTTCAGTCAAATTCTATTGGAGTTAGTATTTTCTACCATCACAACCACATCAACATTCCGTTCCGACTCGAAGCCAAAGATCGGAGATCAAAATATATCAAAAGATTCGGTAACATAACATATAACCTTCTTTTATGTATTTTCTTGTGTGGCGCCCTAAGCGTCTTTTGTATGATTATGCGTTCGTCCTTGTGTATTAATATGCGTTAATTCAGAGATGAAATCCAGCGGGCAGGTAAAGTAGGTGTGCATTGATGATAGCAAGAAGATGAGCATCAATTATCCGGCGCTAAAGATAGGAAGCAATAATTGAAAACTGCCATTGAGTATTGCCAGCTTCTAACCGGAGGTTAAATGCACTAACTACCACCTTCTTTTCAGAACTGCGCAGAAGTAAAGGTGACTTAAATTTCCAAAAAAATTTCAGCAAAAGTTTCAACCATTTTTTTCCATTCCAGTTTGTTTTGGCTGTTCTCGCATATTTTACAATTACGAAAATAGTATATATTTTACAATTATGAAATGAATAATTCTAGTGTAGAAATTTTGGATTTTTTAATTACAATGAATTAGTGAGTCACATTAATTTACTAATATGAATTTCATTGTAAACTGTTCCGTATTTTGATCTATACAGAGAATTTTAGGAATTACAGGGTGTAAATCTGTACTAAAATGCAGAGTTTAAAAAAAAAAATCATTTTGAGCATGACAGACTTGCGATAAATTATAAAACATTTTAATAATAAAGAACGTCTCGTACGCACATTATCAGATTAAATATCTATGAGAATTCATGTTAGTAATGAATTAGAATATTCATTATTTAAAAAAATATTTCTTTTAGGATTCGTTTTAGGTAACAATGTGTACGAAAAGTCCACCAGTATAAAACTAGCAGAATTCGACCATGGATTGGCGTTTACTTGAAAACAACTTCTCTATTTTGATAGAATGTGTTACAGGCCTATTTCAAAGTGTAAATTCATTGTCCTGGAAAAACAGTCTTCTGTTCCATAATTTTTAAGATTATCGCTGAAATACAAACGCTCATCTGAGTTAGAATTTTTTAATTAGCTAAAATTCATTAATTAGGGAATGAAGAACCAATACATATATTTTCCAGTTAAGACTCATTCCGAATTCTCGTATTATAAATCAACTGGTCGTTTTTCTTAAGATAGTTTAAACACATGTACCTTTGAAAAGACAGCTGGAGGTCATTAAACCTCTGTAAAATGCATATAATTGTTACTGCTACGCAGTAGAAAAAACACCTACAACCACTTGTACTTTTAACCTCTTTACTCCATATATAACTTAAACCTCCACCCAAACCAGCGTTACCTTCAGTTACCCGTATACTATTTAGAAATTATGTCTTCATTTGTATTATATAATATTTCTCTTTCCATGTCAGATCTTTGGCAATTTCCGAATTTTTGGCATTACTGATAGCAACGATTTTCTCTTTTTTAAATTCACATTTTTTTTCATTTTCTATCTCATATAAAATTAGTTGCAGCTATCTTATATTGTGTATCCCGATAGTGTGCAAACTTTCAAAAGTGTGGAGAAATTGCTTTGTTGCAAAACGATATTTCCTAGCGTGTCACAAAGCGATTGCTTTCGAAGCACAAAATATGCTCAAACAGATTTTAAACTTTTTAAAATCCCACTTGGGTACTTGTATCGTCCTTATGTTAAAGCAGAAAATACGAGGTTTTGATGGCCGACGTAAATTAGATTAGCTGTGGAAATTCTAATAAATATTCAGACATTCATTACTTATTTGCTGATAAATCTGTAAAGAGAAGTAATTTCAGAAAAAAATATTTTTTTTAAAAAAAAGCTTGTATTTGAAACTCAAAATAATTAATGAACTAAAATGAGAAAAGTAATTCATTATATAGGTTAATTGGAATAAGAGATTAAATAATTATGTAATCAAAATTCATTTACAATTTATATCACAAGTAATAAAAGTGTGGAGCACTCTTGATAAATTTATTACGTTAATTTATTAGGCTTTATAATTTTGACAGTGCAATTAGATTATTCGATTTCGTTATTTAAGCACCCATCCTTTTATTACTGGTGATATAAAATTGCACATTAAGTATGTAAAGAGAATTATATTCCCGTTAACGTAAATTATAAATTATTTTTCTCCTTTTAGTTCAGTTATTATTTTGCGAATTTCAAATAAAATTTTAATTTGCGAATCAAGTTTACTTTATAAAAACTTTTTTTAATGTTTTAAATTTTTATCTTTTGTCTCAATTGCACTTTATTAATCGAAACACGGTTTTTTAATAATGAATGGTTTCTCTTTCACTTCCAAAAAATATGTTATGTTAAATGGTCGAAATATTTTAGCTATTTTATCAAAAAATCAGTAACTGTGTTAAAAATTTCGTATGAACTCCATTTAAAAAAATTTTTTTCGTTCTATCCTGTGGTGCAAACAAAAAATTCTGAGGTTTTTTAGTTTGTTCATTAAGCGAAAATATGTGCTAAAACAACAACATTAAATATTAAATTTTCGTTCAACATTAAATGTTAATTATATTCGCCCAAACAGAAGTTTTTTTTTCATTTACAGACACATGCACGTTTCGAGAGAATTTCGGTTAAAGCCACATTGGGCTAAAAATATTTAAAAACAGCATATCTTTAGAACTTCCGATACAGTCTCGCGCGCTGGAGATAAAAATGTTTCATTCCTTACACTGCTGCCCCTGCTCTCTTTGAAATTGTTGAGTTTTTAATCAAAAATTCATTATTTTACAAAATATCGAATAGATAATAAAACAAATTCCAAATTTGGGCTTCCAGGTACCCATGTTCGGGTGGACGACTATGTTATTCAAAATTTGATGACTCTAGGTACCGCTGTTTTTTCACAGTGCTGCAAACATACATACATTCATGCAGATTCTTCATTATTTAGTTTCTTTGAATTATAACAAAGGGCGATGATATTTGGTGGCAGCAATTTCAAAGTGATGCATCACGTTTAACTGATTCAACGCAAAATGCCCTTTCGACACCTATAGTCCTTCTGCGCTAAGACAAATCTGAATCGAATTTTGAAAAATTTGCTTTACCCTGTTGTATTGTCACAAATCGTTTCAGGAAGCAGCTTAAAAATCGATGATAATTTTTTTTTTTTTTTTACCATCGCGACGAACACCATAAATGAAGCTTATAAAAATTAACAATAATAAAGGAATACAAACCTAAATGTACATTACTTATCATAGGTGTGTCTATTTCAGAAATATTAAAAGCTTCTAGAAAAACGTAATTACCCAAAAAAGGAAACTATCAGCTATTTTATGAAGGTTTTTATTAATAATAATCTTAAAATAATTTCCTTACTGTCCAACAAGTTCATTTTCGTCTTGAAACAGGAAGAAGAAAAAGCAGTGTTAACCCTTGTAAAAAAAATTATGTCTTCATGTATACGAGAACTTCTCGTTCCAATATGAGATCAGGGTAAATGTGGCGCAGCAAGACGCCTTCGTGATTGGGGAATGTGACCTTTGATTCCAGGAGTTCGAAAAGAGCCTTAACGACCTTCCGAAAGAATTTGATGGGTCTCAAAATTACAAGACCGCGACCGCGGAAGTAGAAGAAAGAAGCACCCCCGTTTTAATTAAGTACCCCCGGAATGTTTGCGTCAAGATAAAATTCGCCGTTCAGTTTAGATATTATTATTTTCTTTTAGTTCTTTTCTGAGTTGATGGTATTTTTCAACCTTTCATTATATATTT